TAAACTGAGCCACTTGTGTTACACACAATGGCATTTTAATTAAGAGAGTACATTTTTAAACAAACTTAGATTCTGTAAGCCAAAAAGAAAATTTAGCTATACGGCAGTAAAAACCTTTAGATATACCGCATATATCCACTCAGGATGTGTATGTGAAAAAACACTCTTTGAATCAGAGCTTCAGCTGGGGCAAACAGTTTAACTCAACTGAAGTCAAATGTTGCTACACCAAATTATGCCAGCTAAAGATCCGGGCCTATGGTTCCATGGCAGATATGCCCTGTTTATTTTACCGAAAATAAATTAACATTAAAGCAGTCCAAAGAAGTCACAACACCAGATGCCAGTTTGGAAATATTTTCAGTTAGTGCTATTTCCTGAAGATTCATCTGTGAGGGACTTAAATTACCCTTCCAAAGACAGCTTTTTAGAGGAAAAGAACTAATGAATTCCAGGTACCCAGATGTTCTGACATTTTCCCAATGTTTATAGTGTACCTGTGGATGCTGTATGTTTGCGTGATTGGCAATAATAGACTTCTTTATAGCATAAATACACCAGTGTTGGACTTAATGGGAACTGTAGCATACAGTGCTGAGTTTTTGATGTACTATACATTATAACTTTATAATCTTCAAAAGCTGGAGAAGTCAGCATTTGATAAAGCCTTCTAAATTACAGAAATACCTTCATGTCTTTCTGTAAGATAGACTCAGATTTTGGAGGGGAAAAATATAACAAGTATAGTAATTGATGCATTGTAAAGCCTAATTTTGCCAGAAGACAAAACAGCATTTTTAAAGGTCTCTTTCCAAAGCAATCTAGCTGGGAATTTCAAAAGAGCCTATGGCTAAATTGTTAAACATGAGGCTAAGTGACTAAGGAATCTAAGTTCCATTTTCTAAAGTGACTTAAGCACTTGAGAGCCTAAATCCTATTGACTTTCCAAGACAGTTGAGCACCTGAAAGCTAAAACCATTTTAGATCCATAGGTCACTTAGGTCCAGAATCAGTAAGTCAGTTAAGCACTAGCAGAATTTGACTGCTTTGCAAAAAGTGTGCTTCTAGAAACCTCCACCACTGCCCCACTTCAGCCTACATCGCACGGTGCCTCAGTTTTTGACAGGAAGTTCCTAAGATACCTAAATTCCAGTGCTGGGCATACCCAGAAGCACCTAGTCTTGACAAAGCTGAGCAACTCTGTACTTAACTAACACATAAGTCCAATCAGGGCTCATAAACCAGGCACGCCCAATAGGGGTGTTCTGAAGACATTACACACCTACCAGATCAGACTTCATACTAATTGATGCTTCCTCCATTTAAATTAAAGCTGAATCAGAGGAGTCACCCCAGCTTCACTTTCATACATGAGCCTAGTGGTTATAACAGTCATCCAGGACATGATAGAACTAGATTCAGATCCCTTGATTTCCACCGTGGCCCACATCACCCACTCCCCAAGATAATACCCTAACCACCAGACAAAAAGGTTAGGCTGGGAGTAGGACCACTCTCTAGTCCTTGTCTTGAAGCTGTACCACTTTATAGAAAATAATTCAAGATTCACTGGGGGAAGGACTGGTAAAAGAAATATTATGGTTCTGTAGGCCTGTGACTGAGGCACACACAAGAGACTGAAGTTATGGATTGCAGTACTTTCACTGAAGACTGTCTGGAAATTATACATTACACTGTTACTAGATAAAATACTGAAATAGCTGAGGCTTTAGAAAGAACATGAAATATCCCAGGACATGGGAGTCAGTAACTCAGTTAGGAAGTTTTCCACAAAAAGTTTTTTTCCTTAAGAAATTGCTGATTTGTCAAAACTGAAACTTTTCATGGAAACTTATAGGCTTTAATTAACTTTTTGTGGGGAAAGTTCCACTGGTCAAACCAAAGAGGACATCCCAAATAGCCAAAAGTGCAGTGGTTAAGTGAGAAATTAAGCTCAGATTCTTGTTCTGCCTTACTTGGAACAGGGTCTTAGACCTGAGTCTCTTCTCAAAATGCCCTAACTACAAGGCTTCAGAATCTCTCTCTCTCAGCCCCAGTAAACATCTAATTATTCATACAAAATGAAACAGCCCCATCAGGAATGATTACAAGACTCAGACCCTGTAGCCAATAGAGCAGGGATGTAAAAACTACTTCCTGACATTTCTGATGAAGGCTCTAACCACTGGGATACTGTAGGGCGGTTGTCTTGCTCTATGAAAAAAAGCCCCTAAAATAGTCTATTTTTGTTTGATCCAAAAGAGAAACAACTTTTGAAACCTGCAAACTTTTTATGAAACAGAATTCTTATTTTCTGGCCATCCCTAGTTATTATTGCTGAGTTACCAGTAAAGCCAGTAAAGCCAAACACCTGGAAGTGTTGCCAACTGCCAGTCCTGGAGGTATCTGATTGCATGAGAATCTCAGCTTCCATGTGGGGGGAAAAAATCCTTTTTTCTCCAGAGCTCCCCCATACCATCTTAGCTCCAAGGGGCCTGGTGCTTTTCATCTCCAGAGCCTGCCCCCCTGCGTCACCCCCATACAGGGTGCCCGCCAACCACATGACCTCTGAGGGGCCAGATTCTTTTTCTTCCAGAGCTCCCCCGCAGTATCTCTAGGCCTTCTCCCCCCATGCCACCCCTGCCCCATCTGCCAGTTGGCCAGATGCCATCTGAATTCCAAGAGGTGTGATCCTTTTTTCTCCAGAGACCACCCCCTGCACCTCCCTACTTGGGCTGCCAGCCAGCCAGGTGCTGCTTGAGTACTGAGGAGCCCAATTTTTTGACTCCTGATTCAATTTGCAGTTTACTATAACCCTACAGATCCCTTGCTGCTGCCATTCCTATTACAGATTGTGCATTTGATTGTTCTTTCTTAAACAAATGATCTGCGAGAAAGCAAAAACAAATAGCAAAAAAAAATACTTAGGATTTCTGAATGTTCTAAATGTTTGAAATAGAAAAGATCCTCTGGACTTTTATATTTATCCCAAAAACAAACACAGAGTAAGCAGCGTGGTGCAATATTTAGAGAACAGGACCACAATTAAGGAGACCCAGAGTGAAAGCCACCCAAGAAACATTTCACATAGGCTCCTAGTCCTGCCCCTGCTCACCAAGTCTATAGTGCAAGTCACAGCTGTGCAAGTGAAGAATAGTCAGAGATGGTTTTTCACCTTACGATCTAAATGCTCCATTAAGCCATACAACACTAAGCTGATTAAAATGTGTGTGGCTTAAACCATAAGGTATAGCAAGGCCCTAGCACTACTCTCACCTCTGCATCCCTTTAGTACTTTCTATTCAATGCACTCAACAAAGCATTAATGAATTAAGCCTTGCCTCACTAGGTAATGGCTTAAAAGGAGGTGCCAAGAGACTGAGACTCTATACATCAGGGGTGGGCAAAATATGGCCCGCAGGCCAGATCCGGCCTGTGAGGCCATTCTATCCGGCCCACAGGGCCCCTAAAAAATTTAGAAAATTAATAATAAAAAATGACAGGTGTGCACTCAACAAAGCATTAATGAATTAAGCCTTGCCTCACTAGGTAATGGCTTAAAAGGAGGTGCCAAGAGACTGAGACTCTATACATCAGGGGTGGGCAAAATATGGCCCGCAGGCCAGATCCGGCCTGTGAGGCCATTCTATCCGGCCCACAGGGCCCCTAAAAAATTTAGAAAATTAATAATAAAAAATGACAGGTGTCAGGGGCAGTAGGACCCAAGGGAAGCCCGGTGGGCTCCCGCAACAGCAGGGCCCACCCAGCCCCACCCCACCAGCTGGAAGCCCCTGTAGGGGCTTCTGGCCTGGGACCATGTGACTTCAACGCACCAGAACCTCAGGTAAGGGGGGGGG